CTTGGCAGACCAAAGTGTAATCCTTCTGAACAAGCTGAGATCATTCCATTGACTTTCAGGTTTTGTCCTTTAGACCCAGTTTCCACAGACACTTGTATCTATACCTCAAATTTGCCATTGTGCGTAAGCCTTTGTGCAATTGTGATTTTAGTGTTCTCCTATGTGCTTTTTATTTTCAAATTTACTTTCATTAGAACCCTTAATCAAAGTGGTTTTGACTTCTTTGCCAAACTAGCTATAAGTGGGCTCTAACATTTTCTCACATCAGTGCTGAACTGCAGGAGTGGTAAATGCACCAAGCTCTTCTCTTTCATCCTAGACCCTAAAAGCAGAATGAGCAACGCTGCATTTTTATAGCAGAGCGTATCGTTTTGTATACCCTCTTCTGTCAGAAGAATCACCTCGTGAGAGCAGTCATGTTTGTGACAGGCTGAACTGGCAAGGACCTTTCCTGTCTGCCCTCTCCGTAACTCTTCCATTTCACAGCCAGGGTTCTGTTCCAGCCAGCTGCTGTGTATTTTCCTCTGGGAATAATGATGTAGTATGAACAAAACCATCATTTGGGCAGGATTTTTTAGGATAGATTACCAGCATAGTTTACAATAAGTAACAAAAATCGATTAAAATATATGAAAAGGGAGAAGAGAGTAAGTGTAATTTATGGAGAAATTTATGAAAAACTGGAAATGACAAGACTTTTAAACTTGGAAATTACTTTTCTTTTGTGATGAATCACACTTGACAAAGTTATTGTCACCACACTTGTCCCCTGTGAGAGCTGCCCTGTCTGCATAATTTGACTTCCTGCATAGAGGGCAAAACCCTGTGCTTTTCCTTCATTTAGTTTTCTAGTAATTTATTTCAATATCCCTGTCTAATGCCAGAGAGAAAGGGACAGATCTTTACATAAGATAGCAACTATCTTTGTGCTTTTAATGTAAAACAAACCTGATGTTTGTTGACATCAATGGAAAGATTAATTTTGATCTCAGTGGGTCTTATTGCCCACAATATGTAGCATCTGTTCTGTAATGTCGACTCTGAGTTAATACTTAAATCTGATTTTAGCTAGCTCTACAGATAATTTTCTTTAGAATGTGTTGGTTTGATTTGTTGTTTTAATGATCTTTTTTTACTTAATTATGCAGTTCAGAAAACATCATTTTGAAATAACTGGCTTTTATTTTCCTGTCCTTTTTCCTTTTTTTCTGCCTCCTTTCTTTTTTGTTCCCTTGATTCAGGCAATTTACTACATGCCTTATTTGCAAAATCATAGTTTGCAGTCAACGTTATCAGAGATGCTTGATTTTTCCTCTACCGTTTGCATATGGAGAAAATTTTCCTGGTCCATGTGGATTAAATAAGCTTTCTTTTACGTAAAAATGGTGACAATATAGCAGATTTTTCATCATGGATGTTAACTCTCAGCTTTAAAATAAAGCATATATGTTTAAACCCTTTTCCTTGAATTAATCAATATATCCTTCATAGCACTATTAACTACAAACTACCCCAAAAAAGTGAGTGTGGAGAAACAGAACTGCAAGGCTATGTTTCTTGCCTATCTGACACTGATACTGTGTAATTTGGGCATAGTGGTTTAATTTTATTTACCTGCATAATTCCTCTTACTTCTTTCTAGTTACCAATCTTAACTAATTTAAATTCTATCTGTAAACAGAAATTATATCAAGAAAATTGCATAAAGGGTGCTAATGAAGCCTAAGTGGCTTGAGGAAATAAATATTCCATTTGGCTTTAGTGAGTCAAAACAATCTCATTCTATACTCTAATTGCATCTTTGATATTTTCATGCGAAAACCAATTATAGCCATGATAATAAAGAATGAAACTACTGATTGCTAAATTCTGGCTATGTAACAACTCATGCTGATCAGACACAAAATTTTACATCCCAGGAAAAGGAACAATGGCATGCAATACCTAGCTCCTAGATAGAAAAGCAGAGAGCAATGGACAAATATTTCTTTTTTTGGTGCCTATTTATTAGATGCTGTCATGCTATGAGACAGCCTGGCCCTTCAGTGATGTATTTCTGTGTTCTGTTGTCCACTGCCGTACTGTTTGCACCATTAAGTAAACGCCTTCTAAAGATGCCCTGGGGAGCTATTACAGAGCAATATGAATAATACAAATTTCATATTTTGCTCTTCTGTCAGACATTCTCTCTGGCTCAGAGGCACATTTAATACATCTGGCTACACAGTTTTCACAGGATGTCACATTCATTTGGTATTTTCTAAATATTTCTTACTGCTACAAATGCTTATTTGTGGCCACTGATACTAAATTTTTAAATTAATTTGCTTCACTTTTGTTCAAAATAATTTAATTTATGGTATTGGTTTCAGTGACTTTTTCTGAGTTTTAGGCAAATATTCACCAAATCTGGAATTTATGGGGTTTGAAATTTGCTCTGAAATAGTTTCTAAGACTTGTTCATGAGCAAGGAACAGAAATGTGTAATGGCTCTGAATTGCGAATGTTAAATAATAATTGCATAACTTGCAGTGACCAGTTTTCAACTGATCCAAACTGAAATATACTTACATAAAATCGTTCATTAAATCTTTTAAAACCATGAACAGATGCAGAGAAATTGTCTCCTGTCTGCAGATCATTCTGGAACAGAGAGAAGGCTTAGGTATTAGTTACTGCTGATTTGATTTTTAAAAAAGCAAGCAAGCAGTGAAAACCAGACAAACACAACAAAACCCAGACTACCTCGTATTTATGAATAATATAGAATATGATTCTTTATATCACTAATTGAGTTTTGTATGGGATATATGTATGTGACTATAAAGCTGTGCGTGGTAAATGATAAATGAGCGCTATAATGTAATTTAGGATTATCAGTTTACACAGTAAATAGTTGAATGATTTTGAAAGATAAATTAATTGAAGGAGACTGCAGTGTATCCCCTTGTATTTATGGAACAGAAGACAAACACCTTGTTTTGTTTTATTCAGTTCTTGTGTCGTCACATTCCTTGTGTCTCAGCTGAATTATGATGGTTTAATTGAATCTCAACGTGGTAATATTCAGCATGCCAAATATAAGGTGTCAGATCTCAGACACACCGTTTAAAAACTTGAGAATAGTAAAAACATGGACAATATAAACTCTTTTTGTCTACAGGGTAGTTTCACATTTCACATTTTCTGACTTCAGTTCCCACAAGCCTTCAGTTCTGCAGCAGGTGGTTTGTTTATTCTGACCAAGTCCTCCTGTAATTTTTAGAAATTCGTCTCCGGACACTAACTAATGCTGGCATTCAGTCAGGCTGCGGCGGCGTGTGTTAGTGATGTGCTTAGCTAATACTTTCTATTACAATGGAATAGACCAATTTAATTAGACTGAATTAAATAACTTAATATCATCCAAGAAGGTATGTTTATAAATGGAGTAATAGATTGTAATGTAGTTGTCTAATATGTTTTTGGTTAAATTCCTTCATCTTCTTTAACTCATTTAGCATTCCTGTACTTATTTAGAGGAATATAGTTCTGTTCACCATTGCCAAACTGTATCATCTGCTTACTCAAAAGGACCTTTGTGGTTCAAAAAATGTTAAAATATTTACAAATTTCTCTTAAATATATTAAGGTTCATGATAGAATTATCTATTTCTTTACATTAATAATCCAGGAAATGAAGACAACATTTTTTGCTTTGTGTTTATATTGCATATGTGAGAACTTTTAAACAGAGAAGTGAGAACAATATTGTTCATATGCCTGTTGCTTTCCTTTTCTTTATATACTTGTGTTTTCTTAGGGCCTGCATACACATTTGCACCTTAATATAACCATGCTGGTAATTGTGTGTCTTTAATAGAAGACTGCATCCAGAAATTATATTTCAAAGTGCTATCTTCCTTAAATGCCCAAGCTGGTTATTTCTGTGGCTTCTGGATAGCTGTACTTTTTATGGATCTTGGGTTTACTTGCTTTGCTGCAAATAATTGAGAATCAGTGTGTTCTACTTACTCTACTCAGTAGATGAAATTATTAACGCTGATTTTTTTTTTTTTTTTTTTTTTTTTTTTTTTTTTTTTTTTTTTTTTGGTCAGTCTACAGAAAATCATATGCATATCAGTTTTTCATTGAACCTAGTACAATTCTAGACAGAGTCCTTGAGGGAACTTTGTGTAACCTCGTGTAGCTTTCCCTGCTAGAGAGTCTTGTGTTCAACTAATTGTTCTACCCAGAAACTTAAAGTGTATGTGGCTCTGAAACTGATTTTGAGGAATGAAAAATATTTCAACTTATGTTGTTAATCAGTCCCTTCTCTGGTCTGAGAAACAGAATAATGTGGTGGCACCTACCAAATCCGTTATTCTTACTATATTGAGTTTCAGGGGGAAATGGAATAATTTTTACTACATGGGGAAAACTGTATTATTAATTGAAGGTTTTGTAACAAAACCCCTTGTATGTTGTTGAGTTTCAGAAAGTTGGATAGTTTGATTTTTGGGGGAAAAAAAAAAAAAAAAAAAATTGCACTGGGTGTAGCAGAGTTCATGTAGGTAGTTACTGAGCCTAAAACTCATTCTTCCTAATCAGTGATAGCCACAAAGTAGGGCTTTGAAGAGTCCTACAAGAGGAATACCAGGAAGACTGTGTTCCTAATCATAAGCTAAACTTAAATTTAGGTATTCATGACATCATAAGAAAAAAGGTTTGCTATAATGTCACTGTGTTTATTTGTCTTTGCCCCGCCTCCTTAATAAGTACCATAAGTAGTCTTAAAATATTTAAGAATGTTGAAAATAATGTCAGTAATAGAAACTTTTCTTTTTAGTAGTATGTGTTACACTATGCAAGTTAAATCATATTTTTTTTTCTTATTTTCCATAATAGATCCAAACAAGGAATTATACGTATATTTCCAGAAATTTCTATATTTGTGAATCATGGAGTTACAATTGTTTGTCTCCATTCTCTGAATATGTGTTGTTGGCTTTTTTAAATAGGCCTTGATGATTGCCTCCAACAATACATAAAAAATTTTGAAAGAGAGAAGATCAGTGGAGAACAGCTGCTACACATCACTCATCAAGAGCTTGAGGAACTGGGAGTCACTCGCATTGGCCACCAAGAACTGATACTGGAAGCAGTTGATCTGCTATGTGCATTGGTAAGTGATTCCGTGCATCGCTCAATAATCAGGGGTAATAAATTTGCAAACCAAAACTACAATAACGTAGACTGCACTCTACAGCTATATGCTTACACAGACACAGTGGCTTTGCTTCATTAAAGGCCAGGCATGTAGAGGCTTCCTTCAGCTGTAAAGAAACTAAATATATCCATTTTATGATTATGTATGATGGTCTTTTATTGCTCTTCCTCTAACTTTCTTGGTCTTGCATTCAAATACTGTTGACTATTACTACTGGCATCCATATGGTTCTGTAATTACATGCCATATGCCCTCATATTTCACTGACATTTGCCACACTGTACTGAACCAAGTAGACCTGAGTCTTTTAACCATGCCAGCATTCAAAAGGATGGTACTAAGGAGCCAGAAGGTAATGCTAATTAGACTGGAAGATTGTTTAAAATGAGCTTTAAGACAAGACTGGAATCATAAAATTGACTTTATCTAAAACACAGACATGTGTGTCAATTTAAAGGTGGGGTTTTTTTTTTTAGCAACCTGCAAGCATCCAAATTTGGAAGAACACTGGGTTTTTCGTATAACAGGTTATTATTTCAGTTGGCCTCTTAACAAAGTATTTGATATCAGAAAATGTTTTTTTTCTCTGTTATTTAATTCCTACCAGCTAGTAAAACACAATGTATTAACTTAATTCTAAAGAAAAAAATAACTTTGTGCAGGTAAAAAGATGAAAGGATATTGAAAATACAAAGAAGTAAAATAGTAAAATTATGTAGCTAAATTACATATGACAGTCCCCATATTTTACATCTTTATCAGTTCTATTTCCGTGTAAATTGTTATCCTTACTTTATATATATATTTATCCTTCTTTTTTGTATATTTAAAATTGAACTTAGGAGTTTTTCCTCTGAAACCTTGTTTTCCACCTAAAAGGAGCATAAACAGCCCACTATATTATCTAAAGAACAACTCAATTCTGTGCCTTGACACTAGTCAGAAATAGCAGACCCAAGAAATTTCCTCTGGAAAAAGAACTCCCTTCAGTCAAGTGTGCCCATTAGGAGGACCCTTGCTGATTTTTTTTTTTTTTTCCTCTTTAAAAACAAAGAAAGTGTACCTCTTAAATGCTGGTCCTGCTGCTGGTCAATAGTGCAGCTCTTCTCTTCCTGTGCTCTCTCATAACCTCCTTTTTTATTTTAAAGCATGATGGGGATTTTCCAGCTCCTGGTATCATTTATTTAGCCTCCTGCCTTTAAGTCTTTACCCTTCTTTCTCACTCTGTCCCTAAAATGCCTGCTTATGTTTTTTTTTTTCCCGCTTCTAAATTATTATCTTGCCCATTCTGTGTACTTTCTGCTGAGTGAGTCTGCTGCCTGCGGCTCTGCTCTTGGGGGTATTCTCTTGCTTCTGACATTCCTGCCTTGCCGCTAAGCACAACACATTCTTCAATTCTTGCAGCTTCTTACTGAGACAGGATCACTAATAAAAGTTTTACAAGTATAATATCTATTTTTAACCTGTAATGACTCATAAGAATTTTAACTATGTAACCAAAAAGCATAATTAAGTTTTTCTCTTAATTCTTTTAAATAATGACAATAATTGAATGGTGAGAGACCTGATGCTGCCTTTATTCAGAGCCAAAATACACTTCTAAAATATTACAATTGTATTCTTATTCTGTGGTAAAGTTGATGCATTAATAGATTATTACATTAAAATCTGCTTGTTAAGTGATCAGTGAAAACTGGGGAGCTCATCACCATAAAGAATTTTTAGACTAGCTAGTCTATAAAAACAGAGGAAAGACCTTATGTAAAAAGTAACTTTAAAAAAGGGGGTGTTAGGGCTGTCTGTGTTTTGCTTATGCCACTAATCAGGAACAGACATAGAAGAAATCATTTGAATCAGAATGTCTGAAAGAGCATGTCATTTTACCCCTGATTTCCTGAGTTTCATTATAAGCAAACAATAGAGTTTATGGGCAGTTAGAATACAGCCCCAGTCAGGCAGATGTCAGCACCCGAGTGCATTATGTGTGTGTCTGTATGCATGGACAGGGCGCGTAGTGTACAAAGTAAGTATATTTATAAGTTCATATAGACTTTATTTTTTTCCAAGATTGTTATGAAAAAAAGGGAAACATCAACTCAAACAATCCAGACTAAAATTCCACATGTGGAGGGGCAGTAACAGCAGGAGCAATGGTTTGCTCTCTCGGTCCCTCCCTTCGCCCTGCTCAGCATGGGGTGTGCTCCCAGAGCCGAGCTGGTGGAGCGTCCACAATGCTGTGCACACTGTCTCTTCTTCCCGTCTGATCAGACAGCTGCATTCCTGTTTATATCAATACATGTCAGTACTGCTTTGTACTCTGCATATCATCCACTCGCTGAGCCATCCCGATGAGCACTGATATTTTATTTTTTTTTCCCATACATGGATTTCTTAATTGATTTATGTTTGGCAATTGGCAGTGTCCAAGTTACATGACCTATTTCTTTCAGGCAGGATGTTCTGCTCCATCTTAGCTAGATGAGTTGTGTAATGCTTTAAACAGAAGCATCTCCAATGTACTGTAGAAATCTCTCAGGTAAGCTTAGGCTCAGTGATGCATCAGGAATTCAGCTGCACGTTGGTCATGAGTTTAGCAGGAGAACAGCTACGTTGCTTCAGGAAACCGAGAGACATTTGCCTATCTTAGCTCAAGCTCTTGGAACGCACTGAAGGTTCCTGTTGCGATGCCATATTTTCCATGTGCACTCCCTAAGGGCCTGGCCATCAGCCCTCTGGCTTTTGGGGGGGTGGGGAGTAACTGTTTGGGGTTACACATCAGAGTGATGTCTCCACTTCAATCACAGTGGTGCAAACCATTACACAGCATATACGTAACTAAATGCCAATCCATAATTAGGGCTCAAGTGCAAGAGAAAACAAAAAATAAAGGAGGCAACTCCTGTTTTTTTCCTTCCCTCTTCTGCACCACCTTTTAACAGGACTCTCAAATGCAAATTAGTAAAGGCAGTGAAGCTTTGCTATTACACATTTGCCTGTGATATTTTATCCACTTTTCACAAATAAGCATGAAAAAAACCTCAAGCCAATATCATATCTTGATTAGTTGATTCAAACCTTCATGTTATTTCTGAATAAAATCAGAAGTGATATGACTAATATGTACAATCACAGATCATAACTTTTCTTTTGAAAGAAAACTGAGTTCAGAGCATTTTTTAACTAGGCATTGCGTATGAGTTTCCTGTCTAGAAAAGATTCTACACTGGAAGACGATCTGCAGTAGGAAAGAAGGATATGTAAGAAATGTAAAAAGGGAAAAAATAAAAGTATTGGTTACACCTGTGCATAACAAATGGCAATATGGTAATATAGAAGTATGTGTTTTACCTTAAATTGTTTAAAATACTAGAATAGTCTGGGTTTTGAAAGGGTAAAATTGAAGTGTAAAAGGTGAGAGTATCTTTCAGTGTAGGAGGGAAAGTACTGGCACTTTCTTGGGATTGCTCAGAGTTGAATTTCTGCTATGAAAGAAAAAGCTGTAGGTGAGCCATACTTTCAGCTTCAATTCTTTGGCCATCCTAGAGAGACATTTTTGAGTAGTGTTTTAGTTATGAAGAAAATTGGGAATAATGGCTGTAGGGAAAATATCCTATCTTAAACATCAAAGTCCTTTCTTACTAGTGTGGTCAGAAGCTGCTTTGCAATTATTTATTTGAAGTGACCTAAATAACATCTATGGGCTGCAAGTGCAGGCCATCTAGGATTTGGACTGTAATTTTATTAAAGCTGAAATACTTATCTGGCAGGTATTGGAGGAGTAGTTGCACAAAGGCTGACTCTGAAGAAGTAGTAGGGCCTGAGGAAAGTAATGCTTTGATAGATGGTAAATTATATTAGAAAGAAGAAAAAGGAGTACTTCTGAGGTCAACATGGGTTGCTGTTCAAATCTACACAAGTAAATTTAATTTAATTAGGACAATATTGGAGTCAATATATTATTAAAGCCTGTTCAAATTAAAATATAAACAGTCGAGTGTGAAGAAAGTCTTTGATAATGAGTGGAAGAAAAATGAATGTAAAATAAAAAGCATGCTCAAATATAGATTGTATCTGAAGTAATTAAAAGTACTGTTAATTCATAGGCATTCAGCTAGAGAAATTAGGCACTATGCTGTGATAGCATTCAAGGAGAAATAAAGATTAGAAAATTTCTCCCTGCAGTTACTGCAAAAGCTAGCAATCCAAGCATGATAGTTTGTCTGCTAGAAGGCAAAATAAAGTCACCTGTGGGTCAACATGTTTATAGCAACTGGCGTGAATTTAATTTGCTTGCATATTTACTACTTTTTTTAAAAAAAATATTGGGACATGGCTAGCAAACAAATACACTTTCTTTTTTCTAATATATTTCTTTATTAGGCTTCTCTTTAACAAAATAACAGCAGTAACTATTTTGTTGGTCAGATGGAAAGTGGTTTGCAGTAATTTATTTTGAAGTATGCCAGACTGAAGGTGAAGCAGCCAGTCTCATAGTTGTCCCTCTATGAATACATAAGGTTGTTTCTTCTGAAATAAAAGTTTTCAAGATTTGCTTAAATTAATGCTACTTTTTAATGGCCATACCTGCAGTAATTTCTCTTGAGATCCTTTTTGTCTTTCATTCTGCTGATACACTTTTTGATTGGTCAATACTGTGAGGATATTGGGAAGTATTTTTTCTTACTTCACCTAACATGTAATCAAGTTTCATTTTTAACAAGTCATTTGATATGTCAGATACTTATTTTCCCCCCATATTTCAAAGGTTATTCAGAGGTGATTATTCTAGACTGAAATCTTCATTTTGTATATATATTGATGCTTAAATAGATGGAAATAAATCTTTCTTTGAAATTGAATGCCATCTCTCTTAGTGAGAGATGAAGAGATACTCCATCTCCTCGGTATAATGAGAAACCTGGCACATACATTATTTTTGTCTATACAAACATATA